CTGTAGAGGGCAGTGTCACTGGCCCTCATATGTGGGATCCGAACTGGGGCCCTCTGGCGTCCCAAGCCAGTTCTTAACCATCGTGCCACTCGGCCGGCCCCTGTAGGGATAATTTTAAGAAACAAATTCAACAGTCAAATGGATTATAAATATTTTCAGGCTAATTACCTTTGGCTTGGGTTTAATGCATAAACAGACAAAGCCTTTCAGGTCGTTTGCTTCCTTTTCCTTTTGTTTTATAAAACTGTTTTTTGAGGCCGGTCAAGTGGCTCAGTTGGTTAACAGCTCGAGCTCTGAGCAACAGGGTCGCGGGTTCGATTCCCACATGGGCCAGTGAGCTGCCCCCGAGCTGAGCTGCTGAGCTGCTAGCAGGTGGCAGGACGTCTCAGCTGATGAGAGCGTGCGTGCATGCGCCTTTAGCAAGAAGGTTTCCAGTTTGATTCCCTCATGGGATGGTGGCCACACCCACCTGCAACTAAGGTTGAATGCAGCACCTTGAGCTGAGCGGCCATGGGTTGCTGAAGGGCAGCCGGACAGCGACTGAACTTGGAGCTGAGCTAGCTGCGCCCTCCACAACTAAGATTGAAGGACAACAACTTGGCTGTTTCCCTCACCCAATTCCCCAATAAAATCTTAAAAAAAAAAAAAATTTTTTTTTTTTTCCCATCAGGCGCTAAGCCTTGAGTATTAGTCTCCCCCCTTATGCTCCCCATTGTTTCCCTTCTACCTTGGGGCCTTGAGCTTTTTTATTTCACCCTCCTCCTTTCTCTTTGTCTCTGCTATATGGAGAAAGTTCTCTCAGTATTATTACTTCTACTTTATTCACTGGGGTAATTTTGTGTCTTAACACTAAAAACAACTGAGTTACACATTTTAAGAGGATGAATTTTATGTTATGTGAATTATATGTCCATAAAAAAACAGTAAAAATTTTTTTTTATTGTGTCTTTGCTTTCTGGGAGAAAACAATTGTGAGAAGCAGTGGTATGTACAGACTACTTTTCCAGGGTTCCAAGACTGGAGGATTTAAAATAATCATATGTTTTTTATTCTTTATTTTTCTTCTACAAGTAGGTCAGAAGGAATGTCAGAGCAGTGTTCTGCAGTATAAAGTGTTGGGCTGTTCTTTGTGTGTGTGTGTGTATTACTTTTTTTAAACCTTGAGAGCGGTTGACAGCTGGGAGAAGACTGTTGTCCAAAGCAGCAGCTCTGAACAAGATGTTACGGTTTCTGTGCAGGCTTCGTGGAGAGTGCAGAAGAGCCCTGTGATGGCTACGAGGTGGTGCAGACCCCGCAAGGTTTCCAGTGTACCGTGAAGGCCCCCAGCCTGCTCTACAAGTGAGTGAGGCCCCTGGCAGCTCCATGGGGAGGCGCTTCTAGGAAATTCAGCAGGAAGCTAACTCTTCTCACTTCCACACTTAATTTCTGGGCTTGATTAATAATGACAAAATAGTTTAGTGTTTTATGTCCTAGAAGCTCTAAGGCCTGATTACAGATCAGTTTCATTATTCCATATGTATTTTGGGGAATTCCTGTTGATTTTGCCTCTTACAGAACTTTCGAATCCACCACTTATCTCTCTGCTGCCATAGCCTACTTACTGGTCTCTCCACATTGATTCTTGCTCTCCTCCCAATCAGTTCTTCACATTGAGGGTGGAATGATCTTTTCAAAAGGCAAATCTGATTATTTATTACCTCTGCTTAAAAACCACCAACATCCTTCCATTGAAGATGGAATTTTATTCTGTTAGATTAATGGCCAAAATCTTGAACATGATTTAGTAGGCCCTGCATTTCTCAATCTCATCTCATACCGTTCTTTCCCTGGCCTTACACTTAAGCCCAACTGGTTTTCTCAGTTCCTCAGATGCATCATGCTCCTTCCTGCCTTAGAGCTCTGGCTTATGCTGTTCCCTTTGCCTTATAATCTCTCCTCTTCCTTACCTAATTATATTCTTCTTCCTTAGGGAAGCCTGCTTTTACACCATCATCCCCACCAACCACATTCATTATCCTACTATGTATTTTTATAACACTCACCACTTTTCCTTTGTAGCATTTTTTTTTTTTAAAGATTTTATTGGGGAATTGCAGGAGGGGAACAGTGCTTGGGAATTGGGGTAAGGCGAACAGACAAGTTGCTGTTCTTTTGTTCTTCAGTCTAGTTGTGGAGGACGTTGCTTCACTGGCCCATGTTGGTATTATCATTGTGCTCTTCCCAGGCGAGGCAGATCGGTCACCGGCCTCTGGACAGCCGCTCATGGTGGCTCTTGGCAGCTCACACCGGCTGCTGGCCGTTCATGCTGGCTGCTGGCTACACAGGGTAGCTTATGGCAGCCCACTGCAGCAGAGGCTGCAGTCTATGCCATCGCCGGCGGACTCACGGCAGCCCAGCTTCAGGTCGAGCTGTTGTTCACCATCTTAACTGTAGAGGGCAGTCACTGGCCCTCATGTGGGATCCGACCTGGGGCCCTGATGCTCAAGAGCTGGTGTCCCAAGCAAGCTGTTAACCAATGCGCCACTCGGCCGGCTCCCTTTGAAGCATTTCGCAGTCATGTGTTTATATTTATTTCTGTGCTATTTGATGTCTCCTCCACAGGATGGGAAGCTTCTGAAAGGCAGGCATGTGTCTTTTCCATTAACCCCTAACTCTTATTGAAGACTGATGTGCTTTTTCCAGGATCATCTTTATAAATTGCTTGGAAACTTCGTGAGCACTTAAATCTGTGCTTTTGTGCCCACGTTCTGTCCCATATTAACCACTAAGATGGCTAGCTTATGTGGCTAACTGGCTACTTTGAGGCTTCCACCTTTGAGAGATAGGCTGGTCTAGAAAGTCCATAAATTCTTTTTCTGTGTTGTACCAGATGAGTTAGGTCTGTCCAAGCTCCTCTGAGAGGAGATCTACAAATGTGGAATCATATACCTTTAAGCCTCAAGAGGCAATAATTTCATTTTCATTAAATTTGAGAGAATTATGAAATATCTATTAAGGATGAAATTCTTCTGGAAACCCTGACAGCTCACTTTCCAATGACATTTTCTTCTAAGACACATGATTTGAGAAAGTCATGGCTCAGTTTCCTGATAAAAGCGGTATAGCATGTCTTGTTTAATGTGTATACCTGCTACGGCTAAGGTGTGTAAACATTCCTTAATTTTTTATTCTAACTTGATCTTTTGAACATATTTTAAATGTTCACTATGTACCAGATGACTTTCATATTAGATTAGATACTGATTCTGCTAAGTCCTAATTAATAGGTAATATGGAAATCACCTGTCTAAACTAGGTATCTGTATTATTGTAGTGAATGTCTTAGACTTTCCATGAAACTTCTTTTGAGCCTGGCTAAATTCTTAACTGGAAGGATGCCCTTATGGGCTTAATGAGGATGGCAAGGACTGTACTGAACTATGTGTCAGTTACTGGGAAGCCCTTTTATATAGGATCACATTTAATCCTTAAAACAACCTTATGATACATAGGTATTATTCACTCCATTTTCATGAGTGAGGAAATAGACTTACAGTGGTTAAGTGACTTGTCCAAGGTTTGTTTGATCCTAAAGCTTCTTTAACCTCAACCACTTCCCTTTCTAAGGTGTGTAGACTTTTTTTTAAGATTTTTTATTGGGGAATTGGGATGGGAACAGCGCTGGGGAATTGGGGGAAGGGGAACAGACAAGTAGCTGTCCTTTTGTTCTTCAGTCTAGTTGTGGAGGA